TATATATATATATATATATATATATATATATATATATATATATATATATAAATTCAGAAATAAGTAATTCTGTCCAGAGTAAGTAAATGAAATTAACATTGTTTGGATTTATATCATCTTTTTAAATAATGTATTATATTTGTTGCCTAATAGTAATGAACTCATTTTTCTTCTCCTTGATTAAATTAACATTGGACTAACCAATTCTTGTGAATAAATTATTGGATCAATGCTTGATATACTTCAAAACTTTTACACTAAAATTAGACAAATATAATTTGTTCAAACAAATATGGAATATAAAAAAGAGAAACTACTATAAATTGTAAAATCCCTCTGAACAAAAAGAGTATGCAAACACATTTAATAAGAAAAGAGGAATTCATCTGTCTCTCCTTAATATTTTAAGAACATGCATGCACAAAGTGAATGATATCATAGGTAGTTTTAAAATACAAATAAAATTTATGTCATTAAACATAGTAGAAAATAGGTCTTTTGTTCTTACACCTCCTCTCCCAATATCTGATAGGTGTTTATTTTTGTTTTGTTCTATTAGCTCAATATCATCTAACTTTTATTTATTCCTATTCTAATGACAACAGAATTTACTTCATTCGAATATCTTTAATTTTGGGTGATTTCTTTCTTAACATTTCATTGTAGAAATTAATCGAACCCCAAACCCTAAACTAATCTAATGTACAAGAAAACTTCACAATTGATTCACAGTAGTTATTCTCAATATGTCATTATTTAGGACCAGATTCTTTAGATTTTTCACTCAGAAAATTTTTATGGATTAGTCAATGATTTTTTTTTCTATAATAAGTTAGTGAAATTTTCATTGATATTTTTCATAAAAAATATATATAAAAAAAGATTATTGATATTTTTCATGAAAAATACCTACGCAAAATTTTTCACAAATAAAAAAATGGGAAAAATAGTTTTCTACAAATTTTTATAAAAATATTTCTTCTTGTGAAAAATCTGGAAAAAAATTATGTTTCTCACGCATTTTGAATGTTATTCACAAATATTATTTATGTGAAATAATAAATTATTCTGTAGTAATTGCAAAGGTTGAATAAGGAATATTTTAAAATATTAAAAAAAAATTTAAATAAATAATTCAGAATAGTTAAATATTATCCATTTAAAAATGAGAGAATACATTTTGAAAATATCATTCCAAATATTAAAAAGTTATTTTAGAATATATATATATATATATATATATATATATATATATATATATATTCTAAAATTGCTTTTAATAATTTCTAGCATGTCCATCTTGAATGCATTAGAAGTATTATTTTCACATGTTATGAAAAAGGGCAACAAAAAATTGTGGGGGTGCAGGAAGCATATGTATGGCCACTGAAGATAGCTAGGTCACCACTATGTTGTAGGCCCATTCAATTAGTTTCTCTGAGTCTTTCAATTGATTTCATGCCTCTAAAGTCAATGTTTGAAGCTTCAATAAGTGGTCTAAGAGGACTTCACTATAAAGTAGAAGAAAAAAATTAGTAAAGAAAAAATATATTAAATTGAAAAAAAAAAAGGTTTGAAAAAACTTAAATAATTTGAAATCATTTGGATTGGATAAGAATTTAATGAGTTAGATACTTGATGTGGGACTCATATTTTCATTGTTAGTTGACAGTTATACTTATCTTTAGAAATGTTTATATAACTAGCAATGACATTTTAAATGATTGTGCAATTAAATTAATAGTTTATGGAAATAAAATGTATTTTTTAAATTTTTTTTATAGTAAACCTACCTTTGGATCTTAAAATCCACTTTCAACTAAAAAAGGTTTGACTTTATGCATTTTTATTTCAATTTTTTAAAAAACAGAGAATCTTTGTGTTTTATTTGTAAAATGGATCTTCCACCCTTCGTCTAATTCCAATTTTTACTCACTTTTCTAAAGTAACGACGCATTTTTTGAAAAACTCAAGTTCAAAAGTCACGAAAAAGGAACCTCAAAAATTGTGGTCCTGTTCCCATCCATTGGTCAAGCAAGCAGAAAAAAATTTGCACGTATGGGACAAAGAAAAACGATGAGACCTAGAAACCACCCACTTTTATGACATGAAAAGTCTCACAGCACAATGGAATTCTCGAAAAAGAGAGGTGGAAGCACTCATCTCATGCCAATCCCTAATGGTCCAATTTAGAGTTTTTAAACAAGTAAAATCATAATTGAATAATGGAATTGAAGTACGCACACCATAAGAGGAATTTACCCTACAAATTGTTTTGTTATAGTTATGATAATCATTTGAGGTACCAAATCAATTAGTCTTTTAGTGGTGTAAAGTTTAAACTCAAATGTCCTATAATTGCATCATAATGTTGTGTTAAAGCAAAGGAGAATTTGAAAGTAGGATTTCGTTTTCAAGTATAAAAGTAGGTATATAGGGTTCTTAGGATATAATTTTCCTATTCAATATCTTACAACAAAATGCACACATCGTTATTATTATTTTTATGCTGCAACTGCACGCGGGGACACCTAGTTATTCCCTTCACATGGTATCATAGTCCTCACTCAATGCTCTGCTATTCATTCCCCATCACGGATTCATTCACATCACAACCAAAAAGTACAACGCATACTCTACCTTCACCGATATAACCACTTTTTCATTATTATTTGCACAATTGCATTCTTGAAATATGTTTATGTCACTATCCACTCTATTCTACATTTTATAATTAACTTTATAATGTGATAATTTCTTTATTATTGTTCCCGTAAGTCAAATATAAGGTTCTTTTAATATTAAAAGTTGTTGAATAACTTAAACGTGATTTTAAGTTTTTAATGAATAAAAAAATTGAACAACATAACAAAATAAGACCTATAATTTAAATGTATTAAAGATTTAAGTTAAGAATAATCTCAATCTATTATATAAATTTGACTCATGTCTAATGGTATATTTTCGCGATAAATCTTCCTAAAAAAACCTAATAATATGAACAAATAAAATAAATATTAACATAAACTCTTCCAACCAACGAATTAGTCCATCTAAATGCCAACAAAAATTCAGCCGGCCCAAGTCACTCTCCCAAAAAATTAATTACTCCTTTCAAATTGTCACGGGAAGTTTATTTCTCTTTTCATATTGAATATGTAATTTGTTGGTGGCAACATGTGTTTCCAAACACATAACTTAATTAGAAGTTAATATGTTTGATTTATTGATACTCAATTAGAAAACATAAACCACTGAAAACTTTGTTAAATAATTCTAAGTATCCAAATACAAGCAAAACACGTACAATATCAAATCACACTATAATAAGAGTATAAAAATATCTTTCTTGGCATTAGAAAACAACTGTTCACAAAATTGAAAAGAGCTTAAAAGTGAGGTTACAATGGAAGCAAGTAATTTCCTGAATGTGACTGCCAATCTATCTGCATAACCTGTTTTCCAATCTCCGCAAACTCTTCACTCATACCTTCGCAAATAAAACAAAATGATGGAACAAACAACAATAACGTTGTGGTGGTTTCCAGTTATATATTATTTGCATGGACGGAAAATTTATTCTTGTGTTTGTTTCTAAAATTAAGTGAATTAGATAGCGCAAATTTTAAGAGGGATGGAAATAAAATATGGTAAGAAAAACGTATACCTCGCATATATTTATATAAGTATATTTGGAACAAATCGGATTTTTTACGTTAAAAATTGAATATTTATCAAAGAGATAATTTAATTTTTTTAATTTTTTTATTATTTACATCAATAAATCACTGATAAAAAAATTTCTTATATTTTTTATTATTTTTCCATAATCTAATGGATCTTATTTTCACTTTCTTTTTCTTCAAACCCATATTTTTTTACTATCTCAAATCAATCCTCCCATCCAAATAAAATGTAAAAAGAAAAAATAACCATCCCAAATCTAAAGCAAAAAAACTTTTATTCATGCTTGTGAGCATTTTCAAGGGGCATAACGGTCCCTACAAAAAAGTGCTTATGACACGTGGCGGCAGAAGGTGAGTTGACAAAGAGAGGAAGGAAAAAGTGAGAAATTAGAAAAACACGTTCGGCGTGGTTAGAGGAGAAGTCGAGTTCATATGCTTCCCTCCTTTTCTGACATTACAGTTCTGCAGAATTCAGAAACCCTTTCTTAATCCTTTTTCTTTTCTCCGTCAAATTATTTTTTTGTTACGTTGTTCGCGAATTCCCCATTTTGCCCCTTCCAACACCACCATTCTGGTCTCTGTTTCATTCATTTTTCTTCCGTTCCTTCAAATCCTAATTCTCTTTCCAAGACTTACATCGCACCAAAAAGGGTATTGTGTTGAGTTTCTCTTCCTCTCTCGTTGAGTTCTTTCTCTATATATACACACACTCACTCTTGTGTCTCTCTGCAACCGACAACCTCTGCTGCTCTTTACTTATGCCTCATTCTTAAGGTATGTGTCGCTTCCTCTTCTGTTTTATTCTTCGAGTCGGTTATTTTTATGCCTCTGAATCCGACGAGGAAGAAAAAACCAAATGATAACATTAAGCAAAAGAGAAAAAAACTGAATCCGTAATTTTCTGTCTTTGTTTTATTATTATAATGTTTATCTTGTTTTTTCTGCTCCGTTCAATCCGGGTTTTGGTGGGTTTTTCTTTTTTAATTTTATCTTTCTTTGGTGATAATTATTTCTATTTTTATGACGCTGTTGGTTCTGCAACCAGTTTCTATTTCTCAACGTTGTTTTTTCTACCCGGGTTTTGGGAGATCCAACCCTGAATAATTTTGACTCTTATTGAAGGTTTAGATGTATGCGTTTTGAACCGGATTGGTTTGTTAGACACGGTTTGAGTAAGACACGTGTTTTATTTTTATCTTGTCTGTGATGTCTTGTGCTGTGTTTGTTTGGTTTAGATAGGATCTGGTTGTTTGTGGGTTGTGTCGATTTTGTGGACCATGTGTTTGATGTTGGTTGTTGTAGGAGTTTTTCTTCATGGAAGAGTTGAAGATGCCGGGAATTGTTATAAACGGGGTTTATGATGAAGGGGAAGGTAATGAGATGAATGCGAACCGTGATTCCCCTTCTAAGGAAACGTTGAATCTGGTTAAGTCCCCCAGGGGTTCCTCGAGTCCGCGAAGAGGTGAAGGGGATGCTACCAATTTTGGGGGTGATAAGGTGATTGAGCCTTCCATTGAACAGCTTTATGAGAATGTGTGTGACATGCAGAGTTCGGATCAGTCGCCTTCAAGGCAAAGTTTTGGATCTGATGGGGATGAGTCTAGAATTGATTCGGAGTTGCGCCACCTAGTTGGGGGACGGATGAGGGAGGTAGAGATAATGGAAGAGGAAGTTGGGGAGGGGAAAGGGCGAGAAGGGAGTTCAAGTAGTGAAATATCTTCTGGATTGGGTGGCTTGTCCAATGATAAAATGTTGGATCATGTGACTGAGATTCAGGAGGTTCAGCCTGCAGCTACTAGTTCTGGTTCCACAGAAAAATCTGTTAAAGCATCTAGTTCAGGGGTGGGACTTGATGCTTCCCCCAAATCAACGGCCAAGGGAAAAAGTCCTCTCCCAAAACCTCCTGTGGAAAGAAAGAATGGTAGGCCTTTGAGAAAACATAGTGGTGTTGCTGGCGTGAAGAATTTGAAGAATTCTCCCTTGGGAAATAAGTCAGTGTCACGAAACCGTGTTGAGAAAACGGCTGATTCAGCATTAGAGAGTCGTGAGAGGGCACCACTATTACTAAAACAAGCGAGAGATATGATTTCATCAGGGGATAATCCGCATAAGGCTCTTGACTTAGCTCTTCAAGCAATAGAACTGTTTGAGAAGTTAGATGATGGGAGTTTGGAGCTGGTTATGTGTTTACATGTTACAGCAGCAATATATTGCAGCTTGGGTCAATATGGTGAGGCAATTCCAATTCTGGAGCGCTCAATTGAGATTCCTGTTGTTGGGGAAAGTCAACAACATGCCCTCGCTCAATTTGCTGGTCACATGCAACTGGGAGACACCTATGCTATGCTGGGCCAGCTTGAGAACTCAATTACGTGCTACACCACTGGGTTAGAAGTCCAGAAGCTGGTTTTGGGAGAGACAGATCCTAGGGTTGGTGAAACTTGTCGATATGTGGCTGAAGCCAATGTTCAAGCATTGCAATTTGATGAAGCAGAGAGGCTTTGTCAAATGGCTCTTGATATTCATAAAGCAAATAATTCAGCTCCATCTCTTGAAGAGGCAGCAGATAGGAGGCTCATGGGCCTTGTATGTGAGACAAAAGGAAATCACGAAGCTGCTCTTGAGCATCTTGTTCTAGCCAGCATGGCAATGGTAGCTAACGGCCAGGAAGGGGATGTGGCTTCTGTTGACTGCAGCATTGGAGACACATACTTATCATTGTCTCGATATGATGAAGCTATCTTTGCATATCAGAAAGCGTTAACAGCTTTCAAGACCAACAAAGGAGAGAATCATCCAGCAGTGGGATTAGTTTTTGTACGTTTGGCTGACTTGTATAACAGGATAGGGAAAATAAGGGAATCAAAATCATATTGTGAGAGTGCACTTAAAATATACGAGAATCCAATTCCTGGAGTTCCTCCAGAGGAGATTGCTAGTGGATTTACAAATATTTCAACTATCTATGAGTCTATGAATGAGCTTGAACCGGCGCTCAAATTACTGCAGAAAGCATTGGAGTTATACAATGATGTCCCTGGTCAGCAAAGCACAATAGCAGGAATTGAAGCTCAGATGGGAGTCATGTACTACATGTTGGGGAACTATTCTGAATCTTACGAGACTTTGAAGAATGCTATTTCAAAGCTTCGTGCTGTTGGAGAAAAGAAATCATCCTTCTTTGGTATTGCTCTTAATCAAATGGGACTTGCTTGTGTGCAGCGGTATTCCTTAAGTGAGGCTACAGAATTATTTGAAGAAGCGAAGTGTATTTTGGAACAAGAGTATGGTCCGTATCACCCCGAAACACTTGGGGTATGCAGTAATCTTGCTGGCACATACGACGCAATTGGCAGGTATTCACCATTTATTTTCTCTTCCTTTTTGTGTCATTTCCTTTTACCTATTTGCAGATATCTTTTCACTATTAAAGCATATGGTATTATGAGAAGAAGGCTAATTGTAACACTTTATGTTATATATAATAGTCTGCCTAATCCAGTTACGCCACGTGTGAGTATGTTTCATTGAGCCACGCTCATGCAACTCGTGTGAATATAATGACTGATTTTCATTGTGGCATTCATGTTAAGGAGTTAGTATACTTTGGGATTGCATTTACTTTACCATTAGGGTTTTTGTTAGGAGAAAATCAGCTACACAAAAGAAAGACACATTTAAGAAAATCTTAAGTCTGATTCACCTTCTGAAACCTTTGTAAGCAACTGATCAGGAAATAAGCTATAAATTATCATTGACTGAACCTATTACTTCTTTGTGATATTAACACTAAGATTTTGAGGAAAGAAAGTGAAGGGAGGGAGAAAATTTTGAAAGTTCGTATTGAAGAGAAAACAGAAGGAAAGAAAAATCTTAATTTTGGTTTCTAAAAGTAAACTTTTCTCTCCTTTCTTCCTTTTACTTTTTTCTTTACACAAACAAAAAAATGCATCATCATATGTATTGTTTCTCGTCTCTTATCTTTCTTTGCATCCAAACGGACAGCCTGAGTTTTAGATTATCCACAAAATGGTTAGTTCGTTATTATCTTCTCATGGGGTTTGATCTTTTTCTATTTCAGGCTGGATGATGCAATTCAAATTCTGGAGTATGTTGTTAGCACGAGGGAGGAAAAGCTTGGGACGGCAAATCCTGACGTGGATGAGGAGAAGAGAAGGTTGGGTGAGTTGTTGAAAGAAGCAGGTAGAGTTCGGAGCAGAAAAACCAGGTCACTTGAGAACCTTCTTGATGGCAATGCTCACACTGTAAACAACGTTGTCATCAGGGCCTGACGATTATTTATATCAATGACTCATGAAAGAAAAGCGACGCTTTACAGGAACTTAAAGGAACATACTGAAATGTAGAAGAGATAAACCTGCTGTCTGGACAGTATTAATTTATTGGCTATAATTGAATGATTAAAGAGTGTTATATTTGATGGGGGTAAATTGGAAGAGTGTAATTTTTGTGCTAGATTATTGTTATTTAAAAAGCTATGCTATTGTTTATATGATATGATGTAAGTAACTATGGTGTATAGATTCTCCCTTTGTTTGTGTATACAACATTTTTAACCTCGTTTCTTATATCAAGAGAAGACTTTTTTTCACACTCTGTTGTGAGACTCTACATTGCTGATATGAGCTTAATGGTTGACAGTTACTTATATGTTGTTTCTTTAGAGAAATTTGATAGGGAATGAAATAAATAAATAAATAATTTGTACTCTCGCCTACAATGTTCAAAAACTCATCATAAAAACTTAATTGGATTAATCACATGGCTTCAGGTCGAATCTTCTTTTAAGGCAAAAGGAAAGACTGAATAATTATGTCTATTCGTTTGCACTTTTGCAGACAGTTGTTTTAGCATGTTCAGTTCATGACCACGATCTTAGTTGTTAAACATTTCATGACAGCATTGCTTTCAGTTATCCAATACATTGCAGCATGAAAATCTACGGAAAGAGAGGATGAGAATGTTTGCAGCCAAGAGAATAGACAAAGAGTTTATTATGGTGATATGGTGAATTTGTCACTATTTATCACAATCATTTTAAGAGTATCATGTAATTTCACCACAACATTCATGAAGAGCTCAACCACCTACTTTTTGGAATAATTAGATTTAAGATTCGAAAAGTGTGTATACTTAGATAATCTATCGATTAGCACTAATAACACTGTGTAGCCATTAGAAGAGGGTAGACTTATGATGAAATCCATTGCCTAATCGTCCCATATTTGATCCAGAATAAGAAGAGGTTGTAACAAGTGTATTATCCATTTTTGCTTGCTGACATAGACAATCCCGGACACATTGCTTAACATTCTTGTTCATAGCATGCCAATAAAATTGGGCTGCTATTCGAGCCAAGGTTTTTGCTACACAAACATGTCCCCCGATCAAGCAACTATGAAATTCATGTAGAATCTGCTGCACTAAGACGTGACCTGAAGGACAAGGACCAGAGTTTTAGTGATTGTTGACTTCAAATTCTCAAAATCTGCAGTGGTGTGATCATTCAATAAAAGCTTTTGTTCTTCAACAAATTTGTTAAAACTACAACTATGGAGCATAAACTTTAATAAATCTTCTATAATATCTGCTAAGACAAAAAAAAACCTCTCAACTGCTTAGATTCAGAGGTATAGACCAAGCAAAAACTGCTTGTGCCTTATTATTATCCATGTTCACACTAAACCCCGATATATTACGTCCAAAATAAAGTGAATAAATAATTTGTAGTCTCATCTAAAATGTCCAAGACAAACTCTTTTTATAAAAACTAAATTGGATTAATCATAAGGCTAAAACTCTCTTAATTCTATACAATAATTTAATTCTGTATTAAATTCACTGTTTTAAAGTGCTTTTATTGATACTTATATTGATGTGGCTCCTTCCAAATTCATTACTGTTAGAGACCATTTATAAAATACTTTGGTACTCATAAATTAAATATAGAAGAAAAGAGAGATAATTGTGTTTGTAAAGTGCAATCTTGAGTTTAATTTATGGTACATTAACAGGAGAAAATAAATCAAAATAAAAATCACTCGTGTGTATCTTTTATTTTATTTTTATTGGCTTTACACATAACAACTTTTGTTTTAATTATAAGATATGTTAAATGATTTTAATCAACTTCCTCAATTTAAAACTGTTAAATATTTTTTGCTATATTATTTTATTTTTACTGCTAGAAAATAATATAGTAATATTTTATATAAATTTGATTAATTATTTGATCATATTAAATTTTTTAATTGAATAATAAAATTTTAAAATTAATTTTTTGAGAGATAAGAAACATAATATAAAATTCAATATTAGAGTAAACTTTAATAAATATATAATTATTAAAAAATTATATTTTAAATTATCACTTGTCATCGTGATATTCCAATAATTTAAAATAGTATTAATTATTTGATTTGAGTAGTTAAATTAATTACTTACTCTAATCTTAATTTTAACTGTTATTTAAAACGTTGAAGAAGAATCTCAGCATTCCTGTTGTAGAATAACATATTATATTATATTATATATATATATATATATCAAAGATTACAACTTCATCATCAATCATTTATTTTATTTTCATACAAATGACATGACATTTGAATGAAGCACGCACAGAAAAGCATGAAATCCAGTAATAATTCTGAAGTACATCATGTTTGAAATCTCAGAAGTAGATGGTATTTATTTAGGACATAATAAAAACACAGAGAGACAACGAAAACCACAACTTATAAATAAGAACTCAGTAGGTGGTGGTGCGAATTCAAAGTGCCAAGTTTGAGTGATGATGCGTTGGGAGAGGGATGGTAATGGGTTCAGTGATGTAAGACTCATGCTTCCAAAGCGAGAATTCTCCCTTCACAAAATCATAGTAACCCCCCAACAGCTCTATGCTCTTGTTCCTTACTCCGCTTTCAACATATGGATATGTTCTCAGGTTCACTAATGAGTTATTCACTGACTCCTGCATGCATGTTTAGTAACATTCATTATAATTAATTATTAGAAAAAAGTTATAACATCCCAAAATGCTCATTGTTTAATGTTAAAAGCATGCAGTTGAATCAAATTTAAAGTGCATGGAACCTTTTCACAGAATCTGCACTGTTCTTTGAAGTCATAGCCTTCATATTCTTTCAGAACCTTGAGTTTAGCTGGCAAGCCAATTTTCACCCAATCATCTATGAAGTCACTGCAATACAAAAAAAGGGTTAACATTTCATAAAACATTTTCATTTCAACTTAACTTTTCTATGAAGGCAGCTATAAATTGTTATACATAGAAGTTAATTCTTACAAGGGGGCAGAACCATCCTCAGGATGACTCATTAGCCTTTCGATTCCACCGCAGCGACTGTGTGCAACAACCAGAATGTTTTGTACCTGTAAAAATATTTTATTTAGTCTTGTATTATGCATTAAAAATCAAAACCTTTGTGACTTTATGAATATAAACCAATCATCACCTTCAAAGCCGTGATAGCATACTCAATGGCTGCACCAATTCCACTGTGCCTTATCTGTTAAGATGGATAGGACAGTGAGAAATTTAACCTCTTCTATCAAGTTAGTTTCATGAATAGATGAAAATTAAAATTTAAAGTAACAACAGTTTGAAAATAAACATTCTTAACATATTTTGGTTTATCAAGGAAGATTTATAAGAGATAAAGAATGAAAAATAAACCTGATTAAATGGAGGGACCATGTTGGCGATGTTGCGGACCATGAAAGCTTCTCCAGGTTGAAAGTTGAGGATAACGGAAGGACTGACTCGAGAGTCGGAGCAAGCAATCACCAGATACTAATCCATGGTCAAATCATTCCAAACATATTCAAATTAGTACATCAAAAGTGGTGAAAAATGGTGATAAAAAACTTGTGAATATTCATCATCACCTGAGGGCTTTGCCCATTGGCAAGTTGGTAGTACAGATCCGGATTTTTGCTGCCAAACGTGAAATAGATATAAAAGATATGTTGCATAAATTGTAGAACAAATTCTTTTAATCAATTTTTTATTTTTTCGACATAAATACAGTATTGAAAAGTTAATTCAACAAAATGGACTTTTATAAAAAAATGATTAAAAGAATTTCAAAATGGGGGCAAAGAAGTCTACTTAGCACCTTACTTACATCAGTAAGTATACATCTTATAAATTAATGCACATTTATGTAAAACTGAAATTTTACTAATATTTTTTCAACGTGCAGGGATCATTGGCAGCTCATAATCATTGTTCCTCGGCAATTTGTTGTGATTCTTTTGTGTTCATTACACAAGAAACCAAATGAGTTGGATATTAGAAAGCACATAGACGCGTAAGTTTGGTTTTTTTAATTGTTGTATCATATGTGCACTTACACCAAAATTATTTGTCCTTTTGTAGAGCTTTGGAAACTCACCTAAGGTTACAAGGTCTTCCATCTCATGCTAGAAAGAAGTTGACGTATATTGCACCAAAGGTGACCAAACATTCCTGTTACTGTTGTTCAATTTGTCATTTAAAGTTAATCTGACATGTATTTAACTTGTAGTGTCCACGCCAACGGGGAAGCCATGAGTGCGGGTATTATGTGATGAAGCACATGCACACCATCGTAGCCAAAAATATTATTGACTCATGGAGGGAGGTAAATATACTATAATTAAGTCAAATATGTCAATTATGTAAATGGTTTCTAAATCTGAAATGTTTCAATATGTAGGAATTTACAGACTCGTCTCCATTGAAGATTGAAGTGTTAGACGATATTAGAGAGCAGTGAGCTTCTTTCCTTTTAAGTATTCAATCTTCATAGCAAATTTGACTTGTAACAATTTTAATTGAATTGATTTAAGTTAGCAAATTTACATTCGTTTAAGTAAATGAACTGTCTGGAACTGATCTAGGTACATATATATTGATTTCAATATGTTTCATATATGTACATATATATCTGCCTGAAACTATATATGAACTGTGCATATCTGTCTGTACAAGTGTTTGGAACTGTGAATATTTGTCTGGAACTATGATGAATAGGCAGGTCTACTCGAAGAAAGGTAGGATTTGTGAAGAAAATGCACGCTCTGTAAAAAAAAATAACACTTTCTACGTCGGTTATGTCATTAATCGACGTAGAAAGTACTTTCTACGTCGGTTAGTAACATAACCGACGTAGAAAGTTTAACATTTTATGTCGGTTATAAGCATAACCGACATTGATATCACATACAATCACGGTTACTGTTAACCGATATAGATACTGGGGTCATAGAAAGTTATAAAGTAAGACTTTCTATGTCGGTTATCAGTGTTAACCGACATAGAAAGTAAGTCTTTCTACGTCGATTTCCTGACTAACCGACGTAGAAAGCTTTCTACGTCAGTTCTTAATAACCGACGTAGAAAGACTTATTTTCTATGACCTCTGTATCTATGTCGCCACTAAGACCCATTTTAACCGACGTAAAAAAACCTTTTATGCAGTAGTGAAAATGTTATTTACAACTTTTTATGATAGATATAAATCTGCCAAAAATCGTAAATTTATATTGTTATAATAGTTTACATCAATTTATATCAATCCACATTAATTTACACTGGATAGAGTAAGATATAGATGAAAAATAATTTCAAAAATAAAAATTCATCCTGCAATAGTGATTTTAGAAATTTACTCGAAATTGTTGATCTTGAAGTCAGTGAATCCGAGAATGATTCTTTGGAAAGCAGGGTCATATGTAGGAGGACATTTGTTCAACACAGCTACAACTTCTTCAATTTTTTCAGCTGCCCCTGCGTTAAGTTCCTCCTTCTCTCTGTACCCAATAATAAGCTCCAATTATTTCAACTACAATACTCATAAAAATATTTACATTATTCATATTTTTTTCTCCTTTACTTTCTTATAGAGTTGTATATTAATTATCCATCCATGACCCTTGTTAAAGAGTCTTCAATGAATTTAGTTATGTTTGCGAACCAATTAGCACTAAATTTCAACATAATTTCAATCGGATTCACCTAATTATGAAGGACTCATATCTTTCGTTAGACTCATATTTTACTTAAAATATACAATTTTTTTTAATAAATAAATCATTTTTATTTTAAAATTAAACAAATTTAGTACTTTATTTAGTTTTATTTTACCTAAAACCCTTATATTTTCGCTTTTTTATTCAAAATCCTTCCAAATTAAACCGTTTTAAAACTCCATCTCCTCGAAACTCAATAACCAAAACATTAAATTTTATATAAAATAAAAAAGTCAAATTTTATTTTAGATAATCAATTCCATAAATAAATATAATCGATTCCATAAATAATATACATTTTAAAAATTTACTTACGTAAAATCTTTATAAGTTTATTTATCTAATTTTTATACACAAAATTATAATGAAAAGTAAATTCATTAGATATAATATAACTTTTTTTTCTTATTTTTCTCTTCTTCTTTTTTTCTTATTATTTTTTTCTGTCTTGCTTTAATGCTGATTTTTTTTTTTTATTATTCTCTCACTCAACCTTCTTCTAATTAAAAATAATTGAAATTTGATAAAATAGTCTTCCATGAAATTCTAAAATTTAATATATTATATTTCATAAAAATATTAGATGAAAATTTAAAGTATTACAAATATTATTATTACTTCATAATTATTATGAAAAAAATTAAATATTTATTTTAAAGTATCTTTTTAAAAAATATTTTTTAAAATTAACTAATATAAATAATCATTATAACTTAATTTAATTATAATTAAATTAAATTATTAAAAAATATATATATTTAACTTATAAATATTTGATTTTTTTAATCAAAACAGGAATTAATTTGTTATAACAAAATAAGTTTAAATTAATTATTTATTATATCATAAATAAAATTATTTATTTTCATAATAAATAAAATTTTAAATAATTAATTGATATTGTTTTAATTTCAATGTTAATTTTAAAGAATTTACTTTCACTTATAGAAGAATAAGTGAAAGAGGAAAGAGAAAAACAAAAAATTTAAAATAAAAACAAAAAAGAGTGAATGAGAAGAAAATAATAAACATATATATATATATATATATATATATCATATTAACAACAAATAAGTATATTTAAGCAAATAAATTAATAAAAAAATATTTATATAATTTTAAAAAAATATTATTTATAAATTTGATCCCCTTTACAACTTCGTCTCGCAAGTTACAAAATCATACCAAATTTTACTATTTATAAACTTTTAAAAACTTTCATCTTTCAAAATCTTTCATATATATTCCTATATATTTGGTAAAAATTATTATTTAAGGATTTAAAATAACATAAAATTTACAAAGAGAGTAAATTTTGCCAAATTTTAAAATAAAGAGACTCAAATAATTAACTTTAAAATTATAGAAATTGAGCATGTGATAATTGAGTATATAAAAACTACAATTAAACGCATTTTTTCAAATAAAACATATTTTAGTTTCATATCTTAACTGATCATTATTGACATAGCTTTTACGGGTAAGAGAGACTCTAATTTTTGTTGTCATACTTATAATTTTAATTTTTTAAATATTTAAATTTAATAATAATTAAATTTACGTTTACTTAAATATAATATAATATATATAATTTGAGTTCATTTATTTTTTATAAATATTAAAATGAATAAATAAATATACTAATATAAAATAAAAATTTCTTTTTTAAAATTATTTAATTCATTTATTGTGTAATATATTATTTAATTCCAGAGTCATTGATCAAATCACCCACTTTTATTTAAGTTGGTTCATATATATATATATATATATATATATATATATATATATATATATATATATATATATATATATATATATATATGTATGTATTTTTTTTTTTTTTTACGAGTGAAACAACTGTGTAACGGGGAAAGTGATTTTCATGTGATTGAAGTTTAGAAGTAATAAATTAACCTGAGAAGCTTCTTCAGTTCTGCAATGGCCAGTTCAGATGACTGTTTTGCCATAGTTATCTCTTCTGATCTGCAAATTCCAAAACTGTAACTAATTACAAGACCATGAACAAACCATATTCTTTAATGGATATTGGCCAACTTGATATAAAATCTGTTTCAACACAAAGTTATTTTTTGAAAATTTTCGAAACTGATAAAAAATTAAGGGAAACTAACATAATATGCAGGATTAGGGTCGAGATATTATACCCTATGAAACACTTTTGCTTGCTCAGAGATATAATAGAACTAAGAACTAATTTTCTTGAGAAATGAAACTACCAAAAGTTTTGCTTATGCATTTGGGAGCTCCGCGGTCTCCTATTTATAGCTGACACTGAATATGGTGATGGTTTTTTTGCGTCTTTTATTTATTTATTTTAATACTTCCCTTTTTTTCTCAATTATTTTTTTCCATTTTCTCTCTAGTGATTTGACATTTCTAGTGGAATATGAAAAGGCATAGACGTAAGAAATGTCAAACAAATAGTTTTCAAATAATGTATAGTATTAGAAAAAAACTTTAGTTTGACACACGTTCATGAATTCTACCCCTATCATCTAGAAGGTGGAAGCTAGTGTGACTTTAACAGTTGAGATTGAGACCATGATTTCATTTCATTTCTCATATTTATAAATTTTTATGAAAAATATAAAAAATTAATTTATATATATAAAAATAAAAATTAATTAGGCAATTTTTTTATATCAGTTAAAAGTAAAACTATAAAACAATAAATAAGCAATTTTTATAAATTATTTTATACATAAATTAATTTCAATTTATAAAGAAAATATTTTTTATTTATTTTTTACAAAATTAATTTATTTGAAGTTCCAAAATTATCTTAACACTTAATCGACGACGATATATTAAAATTTTGAGTTCATAGATAACAAATATTATTAAAATAAAAGATACATTGGAAGTGGTAGATATAAATGATAAAAACAATATAGCAATATAAGATAAAAATAAAATAAAACATAATAAAAAAAGTAAACGTATAATTATTAGATTATATAGTTATAATTGTCTAATTTATCTCGAATATGTTGTGTATGATTGTTTAATTATAATATTAAATATTTAGCAATTTTTTATATAACTATATGAATGAGATCTAATATATAGAATGAATTACTGAATGAAAGTACTTAATTTGATTTTTTTTCTTGTTATCTATCATATTGTAAAAATAAGAATTAAAGAGTTGTTATTATTATTATTATTTTTTTTTATATTATAATTAAAATACGTTATTATTTTTAACCATATTAAAAAAATAATTATATATATAATTAAAGATTATTAATTATTTTCTTGAGTTCATAAATACTTTTGTTTTCTTCCAAAAGTCATTTCGTTTAAGAATTTTGAGATGTCTTCTCATCCACCCATGAATTTGCATCCATGAGAATCAATTTGCTAATCCGTTAATTAATTCATTGAAATTAAAAAAATAAATAATTTAATTTAAAATATTAAATTTGTCTTATCAAAATTTTATTTTTTAAATTATCATTTACATTAATGATCTACTGGTACTCATAAACACTATTTCATTAACACTTTATTAATGAATGAATTTTTAGAGGCATACCCAACGGCCACCTCCACGTCAGTACAGCCACTTCTAAGAGTATCTCTACAGCATATTTTAACCTAATATTTTAAAAATTAAATTAAATATTTTATTATAATTTTAAAATCTGAATTATTTAAAAATAAATAAAATTATTTTAAATTAAAAAAAAAGTTATTTAGAAAAACATTTCCAAACAAATTTTTAACTAGAATTACTTAGAAATAAATTTAAATATTTTATTATAGATGTTATAATTGAATTGTTTAAAATTTAGTAAAAAAACATATACATTCTTCTAATTTTAAATAACTTTTTTATTTTTAAACAATTTAAATATAAGATCTATAATAAAATATTCATTTTTATTCTTAAATAACTCTTTTTAAAAATATTCTAACCAAATTTTAAACTAAACTTAACTATAAACTTATAAATAAAATATTTAATTTTATTTTTAAACAATTTTTATTAAAAACTCTTTTTCCACATCTTATAAGTTCCTGCACCCACCTCCTATAATTATCTCCGTATAACCAGGAAAGGTAAAAAAAAATCCATTTTCATGGATATTGGCAGGTAAAATATATCATGAACACTATGTCTTTGTTTGGAAAGAAATAAAATGAAATGCATATTTGAACGAATTTGTAGCAGGAACATAGTTTAAATCAAAAGAAAAACGCTGGTTTGCACATAAATAAATAAAATGATAAAAAACTTTCCGCATATTATCGAAGAAATACAAAGAAATCGTAAGTATTTTATTATAAAATTTTAAATAGCGAGAAAAGAAAAATAGATACTGCGAGAATAGAACTAAAAAATTTAATGCTAGAGTAGATTATGTTAGGTATATAATTAATTAAGAATATTTTTTATTAATATAATAATAAATAATTAAAAATATATTTAAAAATAATAAATAAAATTAATTTTTTAATTCTAATAATCATTTTTTTATCTCTTTAAATTTATTATTAATATATCATAAAAATAATTATAACTTAGATGGAATCAAACTTATTTTAGATGGATTCATTTAGATTATAACATACATGAACTAGATCAGACATATTAAAAAATTGATTGATGAGTCTATTTTATAAAATAATTATTATTTTTTATTAAAAATAAAATAATAATATTTTATTATTATATATATATATATATATATATATTTATTATAAAATTATTTTAAAAAAGAATTCACTTATTTAAAAAATAAATATTAAAATAAATATCTAACAATTATTTATTTTAATATCAATAATTAATATTATTATTTTAAATTAAAAAATAAATAATAATAATAAATTAAATTTTTAATTCTTATTTTAATATTAATTTTATTAATATAATTTAATTTTTAAAAATATTTTTTTATTTAAATATTTTTAAATTAATTTTTTGGGTATATATATATATATATATATATATATATATATATATATATATATATATATATTTTCAATCAAAACAAAATTAATTATTAATTCATTAGCCTAAAATAAGATCATACTAAACTAAAAATATTGATTCATCTTTAAATATAAATTAGACTAAGTTATTATATATTTTTACTTCGTTCGTATGACTGAATCATTTTTCACTCAACATTGTTTTAATAATTCTATTGATATTTATGCTAATCGATAATAGTATTTTTTATTATATTAGTGAAACATATATGAATATTATAATATTAATTTGTTATATACATAATTTTTGCTAATAACTTTTATTTACTATTTTTAAAAATAAAATCATCAAAATAAAGTTATAAGTAAGAAAAATGTTAAGAATTATTTAGAATTAGAATTTATAAATTTTTATTTTTATATTGAAAAATAAATTTATTTAAATTTAAAATTGATTTGAATTAATATTCTATAAAAAATAATTTTATTATATTAATATTTTATTATTTTATTTTATTTAAATTACTTGTTATGATAAAAAATTATTAAAATGTATATTTTATAAAATAGTTTTATTCAAAATAAATAAAAAATATTTACAAATAAGTATACAAAAAATCAGGAATATTTTGTAAATGATATAAACCTGATAAACAATTTTTCTTCTTTTTTTGACGGGTTGCTATCCATGCCCACATGCCCACTTTCTGCCACATCTTTACAACTATTTCCCTACAACCACATAATGTGTTAGCAATGGCAAAAAGCAAAAAGGCAAAAAGAAAGAAACACAGAGTACGTACTTTTAGTCCGTAATCATGAGCCATTTTTTCATCCAACCTATTAAATAGATAAAGATCAAATCCTCAAATATCAATACAAATTAGCACACATAAAACATGATTTTTTTTCTCTCATTCTAGCCAGATATAAGATTTTTTCATAATAATTCAAAATAAATTTCCTTTTTTATGTCCAAAACAAAGAGTTTCAATTTTCCTCAAAATCATAATTTGATTTTAATAATTATTTTTCATTATTTTCTCTTTTTAAATATTATAATATTATTTAAATTTTAATAATATATATATATATATATATATATATATATATATATATAATATAGATGTAAAAACATTATATAAGAGGCATAATTATTATAAAAAGTTTGACAAATATACAAATTTTTTGTTTAATATTAATTGACAGAATATTAATAATCATAAGAAAATATTCTACTTGATTACCTTTTAAAAATTTAACTACTATAGTTACACTTATAATATAGTTACACTTATAATATAGTTAACATATAATTATAAAATTTTTAATAATAATTTCAAATGCAATTATAAATAGATCATAGTAAAGTCCTCTTTTTTAAATATTTGAATTTTTATAATAAAAATAATAAATACTTTAAAATTTTAAAATATTAAATCTTTGTAACAATCATCATACATACAATTTTAATACAATTATCACTTAAATTATAACAAAATAATGATACTACTCAAAATATTTTTTGTAATTTGGTTATTATATAATTCTATAATTTTAGAATTACTTTAATATAATTTTAGTTTAGTTACTAAACATTAAAATAATTTAAATAGGTAAATTAAAATAATTTAAATAGGTAAATTAAAATAATTTAAATAAATTAATTAAAATATATCATTTACAATATTTTCTATTAAAAAATTATATGACTCTAATTTTCTATTATACATGAAAAATGTAAGAACATAATTAATCTTAGTCGAACTAAAAATATTAAAAAAATATTATTTTTACTCTAATAATAATAATATTAAATTAAAAAAATTATATTAGATATAATATAATAAAATATAATTTAAATTAATTTTAAAAGATAAAATAAATTATTTATTTAAAATATTTAACATTTTTATATTTAATTAAACTTAATTATTTTAAAACTAATATTTTAATTAATCTTTAAACTTGTGTATCTTGTAAAAAAAGATGAGAAGTAACATGA